ACAAAATAGAAGATTCAAAAACAATTACAAGCATACTCAGTTACCTTATCTTTGAGAAAGGGACCAAACACCTTCACTGGAAGGAAGATAGCCTTTTTAACAAGTGGAACTGGGAAAACTGGCTTTCTATGTGCTGAAGATTGAATCTAGATCCATATCTCTTGCTGTGCACTAACTAAAACAGAACTAGATCAAAGACCTAACTTAAAAAAAGAACTACTTAACCTGGTGTAAAATAGAATAGGTAAAACTCTTGAAGATATAGGTATAGTGAAACACTTAATGAACAAATCTTTAAGAATACAGAAAAAGCTCCAAAGAATAAACCAAGATCACACCAAATTAAACAGCTTTTGCGTAGCAAAAGAAATCAGCAGCAGAGTGAAGGGACAGCCCACAGAATAGTAAAAAAAAAATTTACTAGCTATTTCTTAGACAAGGACTAATACCTAGTATATATAAACAACTAAAAACAGACCCCCCAATTTAAAGACCTAATCCAAAAATGGGCTTATGAAGTGAATAGATACTTCTCAGATGAAGAAGTGCAAACAGCAAATAAATATGTGAAAAAATGTTCAACATCATTTGAGAGGTGCAAATTAAAACAACACAGTTGTGAGACTCCCTCTCACTCTAGAAAGAATGAATATCATCAAGAAATCAAACAAGAACAAATACTGGCAGGGATGCTGGGGGAGAAAGGAACCTCCCTCCATCGTTAGAAGGAGCATAAACTGGCATAACCACTATAGAGGGCAGTATGGGCATTCCTCAAAAAACTAAAACTAAAGGTTTCATTTGACCCAGCTGTGCACCTTCTAGGTATCTTTCCAGAGAGTTAAAATCATCATACTGCAGTGACATATGCAAACCCATATTTATAGCAGCACAATTTATAATAGTTAAATATCGGCAACAGCTCATATGCCCATCACCAGATGAATGGATGAAGAAAATGTGATATTTATATACAATAGAGTACTACTCTGCCATAAACAAGGATAAATAAGTATTTGTAGGTACAGTGGTACTTCAGTTTGAAAACACTTCAGTTTGCAAACAATTTGGTTCACAAAGAGAAGCATTTGGCAAAATTGTATTTCTGTTTGCAAATTCTGCATCACTGACAAACACAACTGTAGCCATCTTTCCCACACAAACACAAATATAGCCATCTTTTCCAAAATTGTAGAGCAAATTAAATTCGTGAACCCAGGTAAAACCGTAAATGAAGGTACCTTGAGATCATGATTTTAAGTGAAGTAAATAAGACACATTAGATTAAATATCGTATTTTTTCTCTTGTGCATAAACCGAAGAGTACATACAGAGCAAAAAGGAGAATCAATAATGGAAAGTAGGAAGAACATGTTCAAATGGCAAGGGGAACAAGGGGAGGATGTGGGGGGGGGAGAAAAGAAAGGGAAAAGGACTAAAAAGCAAATAGGAGGAAAAAGTGGAAAGAACCTTTGGTAAATGGGGAGGGAAGAGGAGCTGAAGGGAGGGGAGAGGAATGAGAAAAAAGAAAAATTATGATATTCTGTGCACGTAAAAAGTACATACTGATAAGGAATGTGATTGTTATGTATAGCAAATAGGTAATAATAAAAATAAATTTTAAAAAGTAAAACTTCCCCAGGGTACAGATATACTAAAACATATTCTAAGAAAAAACAAAAGGAAAATGAGGTTTATTCTCTTAATGTGCATTAGCCAATTTATTTTATTGTCTCACATACAAAAATTTTTATTTTGGATACGTGGCCTTTGGCAACTTTATCATAAGCCTAAACTTTTAATTGTACCTGTCTCATTAGGTTAGTGTCAAAAGTAAATAAATATTGTATATAATAAGTACAGCAGAGAATCCACTGCTCAGCTTTCAATATATGGTAAATTCAAGCCAGGTACAGTGGCATGCATCTGTAATCCCAGTGCTCTAGGAGGCTGAGGAAGGAGGATAACAAAGTTAAAGCCCAGCTTGGGCAATTTATTGATTTAGCAAGATTGTCTCAAAATAAAAATGAAAAACGGTTAGGGTTGTAGCTCAGGCTGAAAGTCCTTGATTCATCGCTCTCTACCACACACAGACACACACACACACGAACACACACACACACACAGTTCAACATATTTCAGGTTTTGCTATCATTCACTGCTAGAGATTTTATATGAAAAGTTTCCTCTCGTGTCCCTAGAACATTTCCCAGACCTACCATTGTAACAGTCACTGTTAGTTCTATCTGCCCTAGGTAGCCAGCCCCTTTGATTCAGGGGGGTGCTCATTTATCTTTGTTCAGGTCTCTTCTAATTATCTGCATCAATTAGCTCATATTACGAGAGGGGAATCAAATGACCTGGATCTTGTCAGTGAAGATTTCGATGGAAATAAATTAATGATGCAGTCAAACAAATCACCAATATTCTGAGAAAAAAGTTTTCCTGACAAAAGGTGGTAGGCATGTGATCAAATCTTGGCCAATCAAATGCTCCTAGCCATGACTTTAACTAGATAAAATTCACTCACTTATTCATTCATTCATTGATTCATTCAATGCTTATTGAGTATGAACACATTCTAGGTTCTAAAGATATAACTGTAGAAAAAAATAAAGTCTATCTTCCTGAAATTTATATTCTAGTAACACAAATGAACAAATTAAAAATATATAAATCTCCCAGATGGATAAGTTCTACTTAGAAAAATAAAATGGCATGTGGGCATACAGGTGGTATGTAATGTGGTATCCTATTTTATGTAGGATGGACAAAAGTCTGTATCACTGTATCATCTGAGCAGAGATCCAAAAGAAGTAAAAGCACGCACCAAGTACATACTTGGAGCAGTTCCACCCAATAGAAACAGAACAGGAGTCACACAGGTGATTTAAAACTTTCTAGTAGTCACATTAAATAAGTAAAAAGGAACATCACATTAATTTTTAAAATACATTTTATTTTACCTGATATGTTTGAAATACTTTCATTTCAATATAATTAATATAAAAATTACTTTTAAAAAAGCTCTTCCATTCTACTTTTCATGAAATGTCTTCCAAATCTGATACACAGCTCACATTTATAGCACATCTCAAGAGCTTCAGGTTCACAGCTCCTGCCCTGGGCAATGTAGGCCGGGAGGAGTGTCCCCACAGAGCTCCAGCAAAGGTCTGAGCCCTGACAAAGCACACCTGACGTCTCTGTAGGAGAGCACAAAGGCTAACGTGACATGAGAGAGAGGAGAACAGCAAGACAGGAGGTCAGCAGCACAACGACGTAAGACACTGATCTTTGAAAGGACTTCCACTGCTACTCTGCGTGACAGTGGAAGCCATCAGGAATGGGACAGCTTCATGGGTCTGTGACATATGACCCTGTGCTAGGCCACACGTTTGGCTTAGTCCTCTGCTAGTGCCATCCCAAAATGCTGATTTTTGCACAACAGGCTCCGTATTTTCACCTGTATTGGGCCCCACAAATCATGTAACTTGTTGTGACTGCAGAGTTTTGGTCAAGAGTGACATAAATTATATCATGCTTTCAAAGGATTATTCCAGCTTCTATATTAAGAGCAGATCATAGGAAACCTCAGGGTAGATACAAGAAAAACAGCTATGATGCTGCTATCAAAGCGGTACGAAGAGGAGGGGCCAGTTTATCCACGTGTCTGGAGCTACTGCTTGGTGCCAGGCAACCTGCCCGCATATTCCAGTGTCCTGGCCAGCTGGCTCCTACTGACCACTGCTCATTTCAACCAGTTTCCATGATGACTGCCTCTCAGTCTGAGAGTGCTGCATCTTTCTCCTTCGTTTTTGTTTTCATAAAAGAGCAGGAATTAGTTTCTCTTCTGGATTAGAGAAGGCAGGACACACTGTGGTTCTACCCAAACTGCACACAATAGCAAACAGGAATTCTCAAAAACATTGTGGTGCTGTTACAAGATCAAGGTCCCCTACAATGGAGAAAGTGAGCCACTGAACAAAGGAAGAAAAGAAGGACCTTAATGAAGTGAAGCATTTCGTACCATGTCACCATGGTTTCAAATTTTTATATATCCTCTATGCGGACTCAAATCGAGTAACGGGAGTCAAACATTATTCCTCCCACAGAAATAATATATCTGTTACTTTGGTTCGAATGTGACCCCCAAAAGGCATACGTTGAAACAATCACCGATGTGATAATACTAAGAGGTGGAACCCATGATCAAGTAGGATAGGATAGGTCTCATAGATGGGATTGGCAACCCTAAAAAGGGGGGTAAAGTAGAAAGGCCTTATCTTGCCATCCCACCGGCCATGTGAACACAGAGCATTTGTCACCTCTAAAGGTTGAAGCATCAAAGTGCACTCAACACACACCAAGCCTGCCTGGATCTTGATCTTGGACTTCACAACTTTTAGCATTGTGAGAAAATTAATTTTTGTTCTTTATAAATGAACAAGCCTCAGATGTTTTGTTACAGCACCAGGAACCGACAGGCAGAAAAGACTCTACCAAAGTTTATGTAACTTGAAAAATGTTTCTAAAGCACATTTAAAGACCTAAAAGTACAGCGGCACAACTCTCAGTATGGAAAAAAGAAAACTAACTCTTTGTACTTTGTATTCTTTCTTTTTTTCTTCCTCCAGTGCTGAGGATTATACCTAGAGGCTTGTGCGTGGTGAACACCTGGTCTACTACTTAGCTGCCCAGCCTTATTATTTTATATTTACTTCTAAATTTATACAATTGCCTGTATTTTTACTTAAGCTTGCAAGTTTAAAAAAATCACCCTATTTAGTTTTTAAGTACTCAAATAGAAAATTTATCACACCACATTAAATACAGTAAGATACAACTATCAGTATGCTAAATACCTGTAAATAAAAAGTTTATACCCCCTAATCTAACCTCCTAAAAGATAACTTATTTTCCATATACTCAAAATAGCCCTAAAATTATGAAACATGAATAACATAAATTCATAACTTTAAGGGCTTATGTCAGCTACGCACCTTTTTCTGAAGAACATTGATTTTTCTTTCTTTCACTTCTAACATATCTTTCATGTCCCGAATCTCTCCAGCCAGTGTGCCCTTCTCTTCTGTGAGGTCCTGTAGCTGCTTCGTTTTTTTATTGAGAAAAGATTCCTTCTCTTCCAGTCGTAATCTCAGTGCATCTACCTGAAATCAGGAAAAAGAAAGAAGTCTTTGATTTTACGAAGATGCTATTCGTTAACCTTCAGCAGTACCTCTGGAGGCACGGTTACAGCATATACCTCCTGAGTGCAGCATGCTCAAATCACTGTTCACAGGCACTTCAATGCCACACATTTGAACAATTGATGACAACCTTAAAGTCCTGCTGTGTCCACATCCGAACGGTGATGCTTTTTTAGAATACAAAGTGTCTACAAAGTAAGAAGTAAGAGTTTGATCCTATGTTCATTCCCCCACCTACAGGAAATGGTACGTTTGCTTAGGCTGGTAAACAAAGCACACTAACAAATACCCTACGCCTCTGAGAGCCCAGGGAGGGCAAAACTTTACTGTCCATGGTTTGCAGCATCCTCTAGGAGTATGGAGAGCACATCAAGCATCTGGAAGAACAAAAGTGGCATATAGAGAAATGCTCCTAAATTACAGAAATACATGTTGCTAAGAGGAAGTTAGAGCTGCTGGAAGAAGAAAATGATGTGGAAACAAAACACTCATTCTCTGGTTATATATATTTTCCAAATACTTAAAAAAAAAAAAAGACAAAGTATGACAAAAATTTATTATTCCTACATGAGCTAAAAAACTAGAAAATTCTATTTACAAATTAGAAAAATCACAATTCTTACTTTTCAAGTGTCATTAATAAAGGTAGAAACTAAGGTTTATGTTTTTGAAATTCTGAACAACATGTATAGAGAAATTTTAATTTTTAGACTACATAGACGAGGGTAGAAAAAAATAAAAAATCATTGCAGTGGTCAAAAAATGAAACAATACAAAGAATATGAAAATCATTAAATGGCCACTTTAAAGCTAATCCTATATAGCTTTTTAAAGTTACACTTTATTGATCTATAACACTGTATTTGCATGCAAATTTATAAATGCACACTACTGTAGTTTTGAAAAGCAGCTGTGACAGTTTATGTGAAGGGTTACTGGCCTTAAATTTTAATCTGTTAACAGGCTATGAGGTTTCAAAGGAGAACAGTCTCACCTGAAAAAATGCTATCCAATATATTGCTCCCATGGAATTTACCTTTTTAACTGGATATTTTTTCAAAGGCTAGAACCCTTTCTTAAAAAGGTTCTTCTGCTGCTGATTCCACAGGTACTACTTCCATTATCGGAATCTTTGTGTCATTCCCAAATTCTTATGTTGAAATTTAATCTCCAATGTGATAATACTATTATAACAGTGGGGCTGTTTGGAGGTAATTAGGTCATGGGGGCAGAGTTCTCAAAAGTGGGATTATTTCCCTTACAAAACAGGTCCAAGGGAGATCTTTAGCCTCTTCTACCAAGTGAGAATACAGTAAGAAGGTACCATCTATGAAGCTGACAGCAGGTCCTCACCAGACACTGAATCCCTTAGCACACTGATCTTGAACTGTGCCCCTCTGGAACTGCAAGAGATAGATGTCTGGTATCTAATCCAGACGTTTTGTTACAGAAAATCGAACGGACTAAGGTAACTACCATGATCTATTTTCTCTGATCAGTAAAGACACCATGATATGTGATCACACATAAAGGTTATAAACTCAGAGTTAGAAACATCCCTGGGTCCCAAGAGGTCCCTCTGCAATGATTCATCCTGGTCGCTTTGGAAGGGACATGTGATATACTTGCAATTCCTTCTTTTGATGCGAGATAGGAATGTGCTATGTGTATCACAAGAAGTCAAAATTATGTAAGATCATACGTGAGTCCAGAAAACGATACGTACAGAAATGTTCATAGCTGCGTTATTTATAAGGGATCATACTCGATACAGCCCAAACATCCGCCAGCAAGCGAATGGCTAAACACAACTGAGGTACATTTATGTAGAATATCATCTAGCCGTGAAAAGCAATACACTACAGATACATACAATGACATAGACTAATTAGCATAAGCAAGTTGAGTGAAAAGAACCCAAAGACTCTCTAGTGATACAAATGAGAGCAGTGATTGCTGGTGGTAGAAGGGGAGAGCGCTGACCGCCAAGGGCAGGTTGAGAAATTTTTGTTCTCTAAGCTGAATGGGATACAAGGTGAACAGATTTATCAAGAATTCTGTAAACTCTATGGTTTAACTTATACTTCAATATAGTTAATAATTACATTTCAATACAACTGAAAAATGTATGAGTGCACAACGAAAGATCAGTAAACAATTTACAGAAATGGTTCAATAGCTGCTGTAGCTCATAACAATTTTTGTTGAATATTTTGTTTCTTTAGGCAAATTAGAATTTAGATGAAAAGAAAAATGTTTTGACAGAATGCAAGAATACTATAATAAGCCAAAGTAAACAGAGATACAAATACGATGAAGACACGAAGTCCAAAAGCAACCTGGAATAAGAGGAAGGAGACCCTTGGGTCTTAGGTCCACATCGGCCTCTATTTAGCTGTGAGGATCGGGAACTGATTTAACCCCTACTTCCCCCGGCCAGCCCTCGGCCTCAGCTTCCCCATTTGTAAAACAAAAAAGTTAGAGGAAGCCTTGCGAAGTGCCTGATACTTTATGCTGCTGGAGGGAGGAATCAGTCTTTGGGAACTACCTCAGGGAAGGACGAAGGTAGCAAAGAATTTACCGCAGTCGAACTGCTTCTCCTTACCTTTTTCAAGAAACGGGTGCCAAACTTCTATTTCTAAAGGTCATTGGTGATGGGAAGGTGGGTGAATAGAGAGGTTGTCTGGTTTCTAGCCCAGAAAAGTGGACGAAAGTGAGTAAAGGGAGAGACAATGACAGGTGCTTGGAGCCCAGGAGATAGAGTGGTTCTGACTGCAGGAAGAGACAAGGTAAATATTTTGTGACTAGAGAGACAAGAACTGCAGATTCCTCAAATATCTGATAAACACCTCTCTTCACGTAATAGTAGTACAGACAAAGGGACTCTGAAGGTGGGGAAATAACTATGTCCTGGAAATCTTTGCTTTTCTAAATGAAAATCCATGCCAGGTGCCCTGAGGCTTAACCAGCCCAGATGCTAAGTATTTTATCTTGGTTTAGTTGTTTTCATCTACAAACATGGAATAACCCCACTACTTCTTTTTGGCTTTTCATTATATCTGGTAACAAAACATGATTCTTAGTTTTTGTTTAAAGCATAAGCAATTGGTGAGTTCCACAGAGGTTAGGAGGACATGCAGCACATTTTTATAACAGTAGTTAGAAGGGATTACAACCAACTATAGATATTACAAAATATAGATATTTATGTACAGGCTCATTCAGTAGGATTCTGGGAAGAAATATATCACTGTGTCCCCACCTACAACCCCTATATTCTCGCTATCATAGCTGGATGGTCCATATCTGGGCTAAAGGGAAATGCCCACCATTCAAACTATAATATAAATAAATTACACTGCGCGGTGCTAGAGAGAGTTTAGAAGAAAAAATTCTGTGATGATGAAGAAAATACTTAACATTTCTAGTCCCTCCCTACCATATGTGATCTATCAGTGCCCTGCTACATCTTGCCGAGCCTAAAAGAGATGAAAAGCAACCTACGCAGTGAGACTATTTCTCCTGGACGAAAACAGAGCAAGGATGGTTGTGATCAACACAGTACTTGCAACACCCATGCTCAACATGGCAGGAGAGAGTCTGTGCCAGACAAGGTCTTCGGTTTGTGAGTTTATTTTCCATGTGCCAGAAAGCATGTACTTAACTTCAAAGGAATTTGGACCGTACTCTTCAATCACCTTCACTCTATCTTTAGAGCTTCACACAGTCTGCTAGAATCAAGAAACAAAGCTTTTTTCTAATACACTATTTTGACCTGAACTGCATCCAATTCTCAACCAACATTAGCTTAGTTTGCAGTAAGCAAGTATGACATCATTTCTAAAGGCAAATTTGAGCTTCCAGATGGTACAAAACCACAAGCAGGCACACAGGCCTTCTGGTGCACAGAAGCTTAAAGAAGAGAAAGAGAAGGCAAGGAAAATATATTGTATTAAAAATTAGAATATGTCACTCCAAACCGGCTTATCAACGAGTGGGATTAAAGTCCCCCTTACCAATATCCTGATTTCTCTCAATAGTGATCATTGTTAAAGGATCAGAAAAGCCTGTTAGTCTAGATTATACTCCAACATCAAGAAGAGACACAAAAATTAAAATGTCTGGGAATATGGAATACTGTTCTCCACCTCTTTGCTCAACACCAAATAATTTTAAGAAACTTTGTTCTCTCTCTTAAACGTTGGCAGTTGACTCAAAAATAATATTTGGCAAAGCAAAGAGCATTATCATTTCACAGAAAAAGAAAATTAGATCTGTATGATACAGCCAGTGCATAAAGTTATATAAGGTTAAATTCCCAATTTTTATGTATGATTTAAGCACATGAGAATCAGTCAGTAATGTTACAAATAGGATGATCTTCCCATTTGGGGAGAAGTACTTGTTTGCTCTTGATCGACTATGTGTGTTTATGAGTGCATCTGTAAGGACAATGTAACATATGAAGTTTTAGCCTTTTATCTAGCAGTACAAAACATTTGTTATCCTTCAGTTCCAGGTAATAACTTTGAAAGAAAAGGACCACAGTAATGAAATTGGCAAAAATTGCCAAAATCAGAGTTAAGCATTATTAATCTTCATGTCAGCACCCAGGAATTATAACCAGTTCCAGTGTAGAGGTCTGTTTCTAAAAGTTGTATACCAAAGGCTCCCAACCCTACAGCCATACTTCACAGGGTCCTTCAGAAATGGTTTCAAAGTTGTCACACAACACTAAGTGCTACTTGATGCGCTATAAATAATTTTTAAATATCAAATGGTTCATTTCAATCTTAAAATGACTACTACAGCAACATTGGAGAGAAAACCACTTGAGGGGGAGAAAGGGGCCACTTGAAAACGTTCACAGATTAAATGCTGCTCCCTTGACAACATATCGGGAATTAAATAAACACGCTATCACAAAGAACAACTTTAAAAGAAAATGCAACTAGAACACT